GGAGGAGACAGCGCAGGGGACCCCTCCCCCGTGGGGACAGCAGGTTAGTATGGGGTTTGGGGGGTGGCAGTGCCCCTCCCTTCCCCCCCCCCCCAGGCACCCACCTGTGCCAACTTCTTCATCATGTGGGCGAAGACGTGCAGGAATCCGACCACGGCGTCCCACAGGCGGCTGTGAGCCAGGCTCTGCTGGTTCCCCGTGCACGGACCCTATGGGTGGGGGGGAGGGGGGGGGGGCCGTGGAAGCGGGGGGCTGCGGCCAGCGGGGACCCCCAGGGGAAGGGGCACTGCTGGAGACAACCAGGGGGCTGGGGAGGATTTGGAGATCAGGGCCTTGGGGGGCATGCGGGGATGTTGGGATCCGTTGGATATGGGGACCTTGGGGACACCCCAAGACATCCAGGGGCACCCAGGGATGGGGGGACATTGGGGACATCCAGGGGCATCAGAGCCCTTTGGAGATCAGGACCTTGGGGACACCTGGGGGCATCAGGATCCATTGGATATGGGGACCTTGGGGACACCCCAAGACACAGAGGGACATCGAGGGACAGGGAGACATTGGGGACGTCCAGGGACGTTGGGATCCGTTGGATATGGGGACCTTGGGGACACCCCAAGACACAGGGGGACATCGAGGGACAGGGAGACATTGGGGATGTCCAGGGACTTTGGGATCTGTTGGATATGGGGACCTTGGATACGGGGACCTTGGTGACACCCCAAGACATCCAGATGCACCCAGGGACGGGGGGACATTGTGGACATCCAGGGGCATCAAAGCCCTTTGGAGATCAGGACCTTGGGGACACCTGGGAACATTGGGGTCCCTTGGAAATGGGGACCTTGGGGACATCCAGGGATGTTGGGATCCACAGGATATGGGGACCTTGGGGACACCCCAAGACATCCAGGGGCACCCAGGGATGGGGGGACATTGGGGACACCTGGGAACATCGAAATCCCTTGGAAATGGGGACCTTGGGGACATCCAGGGATGTTGGGATCCCTTGGAAATGGGGACCTTGGATACAGGGACCTTGGTGACACCCCAAGACATCCAGATGCACCCAGGGACGGGGGGACATTGTGGACATCCAGGGGC